AGGAGTTGGGATTCGCCTCGAGGCTAGTGCACGAAAATGCTTGAATCGCCTCCGACCGAGTTTCTTGGTAAATGTAATCACCTGGACAGGCGGGCTTGCAGGAGGGGAGGGCGAGAAGGCTGCCCCATGGGTCCTGAAAGAAATGAAGGTGGTATTGTTCTCCAGACACCTCGAGTGCAACTGCAATGCTATCGTATCTCCATCGTAGGCAACGCATTCAACAATCAACAAACAGAACAACTCTATTTCCTGCTTCCACGCAAAGGTGATCGCACTCCAACACAAGGGACTTGCATGTTAGGGATGCGTACAGGTGTGCGTAGTGGAGCTGCACAGTGCAAACAGGAGGTTGGCGATGAGATCATTGAGAGTGCAGTTATTCGTCAACTTTGCTAACCAATATGCTGACAGACCGCCTCAGTTGGTCGCGAATGCACTGACTTATTTGAATGAAAGCTGCTGATAGTGTGTGGTGGTAGACGCCTTTACTGCTCCTCACTGACTTCTCCTACTCTGCCTGCAACGGTCAATAAAACTGCATGGTGGTGAGGAGGGGGGAAGCGAGAGCGTGGGTCGTTGGAGGAAATAAACCTTCGTCCTGACGTACACACCCACTTCCCCGCCATCACTGCAGTGCTCCAGTCAAACAACCTGCTGACGTGCTCATTGTGGCTTTTCACGAACCTCATCAGCAACGCCACCATGCATGCAAACCTTCGATGTGTGGTGGTGATTAGCACTGTTGTCAGGATCTAGTGCGGACGCATTTCATGTGCATTTCGATTGCAACGACTACGACGACGACAGTGACGACAACCGTCGCTTCATTGCTTCGCCTCATTCATCAGGGTACGCCGTAGCAACTGTGTCAGTCGTCAGTAGGCAAGTAGACTTAATGCTGCCTCAGGATGTGCACAAGCGGTGTAGCGAGCTGATGATGCGACAACGACACATCACATCTTCGTTAACCTCCATCTCACCGTCAAGTCGATCAGAATCGCTCGCTCTCTCTGATCTCTCAGCATCACTACATCTGGCATTGCATTCGAGCAGGTTCGAAGTAGAGGGGCGTATTGTCACCACAGTTGTAGCCAACTCAATAGGCACTCAAGTGAGCACTGCAAGGCTCCTTGCTCTCCATTTTGCAAATAATACCCGGAATTAGCACTTCGTGTTCGTCCAGCTGATGCACTCTCTCAATTACACTTCTCTTCCTTACACCACAACACACAAGTCGGTTTCCACCTGCTCTAGTCAAACAATGGAATTAGTGACACGGTGCAGCGCATCGCGATGTGCCAATGTTCTGCAACCTGCACAAATGGAAGTTGGCATGGATCACCGCATTTTGCCGTCACTGTGACATTTCACACTGACTTCCATTAATTTCCACACATGCGAAGCACTCCACGATCATCCGATTCCGCCCTCACTCCTCCTCCAATTCATTCTTCCACACATCCAACAACTTGCCATGCCAACACACAGCACACTAGAGTTCGCATGCGAAATGCTTTCCAGCTGACTCAGGTTGGAAACACTGCATGGTGAGTGGCATGCGGTTGCGGTTTAACTTGTTGGTTCTCAAACAGGGCTGTTGAGCGGCACACCTCCTTCTTCCCCACATTGTCTTCAAAACTTACGCTGCATAGTGACGTGTCTGCACTCCCCCCCCCTTGCCCTGCCCTCACCTCCCCTCCCATCGCCTCGCCTCGCCTCGCCCCATTTCCACTCCCCTCTCCCCCTTCATCTTCTCTTCCCTATGCTCCCCTCTCCGCCTCACCTTCACTCCAGTCTCTTCGCTTGGCCAACTATGAGGACAGCAGCTGCAACGAAATTGACTGGTGGTAGTGAAGTGGGCCGTACTGAATGCATAACTCGGCACTATGTGGGCTCTCATCCAGAACATGCGCTGCCAGACACTGCCTCAAACCACTAGGCTAACGGTGCCGATGTGAAGTATGCGTTGCCCAATGAGGGCCATGGCACCAAGGCAAGGCACTAACGCCACCACCTCCAATGGTTGCAAAGTGAAACGCAGGAGGTGGAGGAGGCGGAGGCGGAAGTAGACAAGGCGCGTGTTGTCTCGCATACCGATTACTTCTAACGCAACACTTGTCTGCATCCTCTTCCATCAATTCAACACTTCGCCTCTTCTCTTCTCACACTCCCTCACCCACTCACCTCCTG